AAAAAAAGGAAATGCTAGCTTAGCTATTCTTCTCTATTCAATGCATTGTCCGTAAATGCATGAAGAATGTTAAATACTATTTGTAATTACTTTAAATTGATAAATTCACTTACAATTTGAAGCTTAATTCACATTATTTTGTTTATAGCTTTTGCTGACACTGAACCCAAACCCATCCCCAAAAGAACTAATTGGTTTTATTACTTTATACATCATGGGCACATTATATGAATAGTTGTTTATTTACATGTCTGCCTAGTTCCACAAGAAATGAGCTTATTTGAGTGAGTGCCCTTGTCTGATTCATCTTTATACCTCCAATGTTAATCAGAGAACTTGACTTATACAAGGTAAAATTGATTTTTGTGGGTATCTTTCTTGAGAATGGTAATGTAGGCTAGGTGTATTTTTTCACTTGAGTAAAATTTGAATTTGTTGCCCCCAAACAGAGTAAACAGACGTGTTTCATTATTTGAAAGGAATTGTTTATAGCATCCTTACTATGTGTTAGAAGAGTAACTTGTTACCTTTTTTTGTTTATTTTACAGATCTGTTCACTTTACACAAATAAATTAAGTTCAATACACATATACAGTAGTTCTCTCTTGTCCATGGTTTGTCTGTCTACAGTTTCAGTTACCTATAGTTAACAACAGGTCTGAAATTTAAATGGAAAATTACAGAAACAAACACTTCATAAATTTTAAATTAAACAAAGTTTTGAATAGTCTCATAAATCATGCACCACCCTTCTTCATCCTGTCTGGAAAAGTGAAGCTTCCCTTTGTCCAGAGTATCCATAATATATATCCACCCTTCCCATTTTTAGTTGCTTATTATCTGTCTCAGTTTCCAGAATTTTCATGATATTACAGTGTTCATGTGCAAATAACCTTTATTTTACTTAACAATGGTCCCCAAATTGCAAGAGTAGTGATACTGGCAATTTGGATATGCCAAAGAAAAGCTGTATAGCACTTCCTTTAAGCGAAAAGTTGAAAATTCTCAATAAGGAAAGAAAAAAAGTAATATGCTGGATGTGCTAAAATCTACACGAAGAGTGACACATAGTATCAGTAGGGTTTGGTCATTATTCACATTTCCAAGCATCCTCTGGGGGTCTTGGAACATAACTGCCTTAAATAAGGTCAGAATACTCTACTGACCAATTATTCTGTACCAGGAATTATGCTAAGCCTTAAGGATACCAATATGATACAAATAACATAAATACTCATAGTTCACTAGGGAGTCATAACACATTCAAATAAAGTTTGACCAACATCAAAGCATATACAGGTTTTAAGAGTGGTTTAGCAGAGTAGAAAATGAGATCATTATGAGGAGAGACTTCCCAGATGAGATTTCCTAATTGGAGTCTGAAGATGGAAAAGGAGTTTCCCAAGCAGGAACTTGGACTTAACCAACAGATTGATAGGAAGAGATGACAAATACCTTTGTTTTTTCTTTTCTGCATTAGGAAAATTTTGTATTATCATATAGTGAACAAACATCAGTTGAGCATATAGAATACCTCAGTCATTTTGGTGGCACTGGATTATTTAATAGAGCTATGCCTTTAAAGCCCATGATAAAGGACAGTTTTGTTTATAAGGTAGATATCCTAGATTTCATTTATGGTTTCTATCTTCCCAATTGATTCTTGGCATAAACTTATAGGACAGTATTTCTAACTTTGTTGCTAGTGCCAACATCAACATTTCGAATCAAAACACTTTGAATCAAAATCTGCCAGGCAGCAGATTTTTTAGCAAGCCATTTCATAAACTGTAATTAGTTTTCTATAAAGGGCAAATTATTTCCTTTCCAAGTTTCAGTCTTTATTATATTTTTTGTTATGCATTAATATCTACAAATTTCTATTTGGACTTAGCCCAAAGGAATCCACATCTTTTCAGCCTATCAACTCTTCTATTTAAAACAGAATTTTCTATTATAAAAAAGGAAAATAAGAAAAAATTCCAAAGGAACTTAATAGGCCCATCAGGAAGGAGTAAAAAAGATCATTAAAAGAAATAATACATGAAAGAGTTAACAAATTTTCAGTATTACCTAAGTAAGCAAAACTAAAATATAATTGCTTGTCTTGATATTCAATCACAAAGAACTAATACATGTTTCAAACGACCATTTGTTAATTCTATAGTAGGGATTCAAGGGATCAAGCAAAACTTGAAATTTCAAAATCAATGGTTGCAAAAAAGGAATGAGCAACAATTTAGTTATTTACTACATTTACACATACTAAAGATTACACATACAAATTTATATATTTTATTGGTGTATTATAATTATACATAATAGTGGGATTCATTATGCTATGTTCATACATGCACACAATTGGTTAAATCTTCTTCCCCAGTACCTTCCCTTTTCCTCCCCTCTCCTTCCCCCATCAACTTACTCTATTGATCTCCCTGCTATTGTTATTGTTTTAATTAATGCAATATGTATAAAAGTAGGATTCATTGTGTTACATTTATACCTGGACATAGCATAATTTGGTAGACTTTATTCTCCACTACTTGCCCATGCCTTTCCTTCCTCCTCTATTCTATAAGTCTCTTTTTTCATAAGATCCCTACCTGTTTTTTAAGTATTTCTCTCTTTAGCTTTCACATATGGGAGAAAACATTTAATCTTTAACTTCTAGAGTCTGGTTTATTTCACTTAGCATGATGTTCTCCATTTCTATCCATTTATTAGCAAATGACACAATTTTATTCTTTATGGCTGAGTAAAACTGCATTGTAGTTATACCACATTTTCTTTATTCATTAATCTGTTGACAGGCACCTAGCCTGGTTCCATAACTTGGCTATTATGAATTGTGCTGCTATAAACACTGGTATATACGTATCACTATAGTATAAGGATATTACTCTTAATATCACTATAATAGTTCTTTTGAATAAATATCAAGGAGTGGGATAGCTAGGTCATAAGGTGGTTCCATTCCTAGTCTTTTGAGAAATCTCCATACTGCTCCCCAAAGTGGTTGTACTAATTTTCAGTCCCACCAAAAATGTTTTAAGTGTACCACTCCACACACACACATCCTCACGAGCATTCATTATTTGTATTCTTGATTGCCATTCTAACGGGAGTGAGATGAAATCTCAGTGTAGTTTTGATTTGCATTTCCCTGATTGCTAAGGATGTTGAACATTTTTTTCATATATTAGATATACTTTTAATGTACAAAGAATGTTTTGCATACCAGTGTTCTACATACTTGAAAAAAATCTTTCACACCTTAATGAAAACAAATAATCTGAAGCTGATTGCTAATTTGGTACAGAACAAAAACTTCTGGTTACCACATTACAATTATTCTCCATTAATAAGAGAACCAGAGGCAAAGAAAAAAATGCTAACATTGCAAAGAATTGTGAATTTACATTAGTTATGAGGATGAGTGGCTTGAATGAGAGGGTTGCTCAATTTGGGATTAGATACTGTGGGAATTTTTTTTTTCTCTCTCTCTACCTAGGCTGGACCTGCTGCTAACATAGAAACAGACAAAATTTTCAAGATCCTGCCAAACCTGGTGATCCCACATGTCTATGGAAATGAAAAGCTAATTAAGAGGCCCCCTAGGGACAGGTCAAAAGAGTTCTTTTGTCCTTAGGGCCCTTATCCCAGTTCCTTGATGTCTTACTCCTCCTCTTTCATTCAGTCGACTCTAAAACCAAAGAATACACATTGTGCAAGTTTCTACCCTCGCTTCCTTTACTGTAAATGCATTGGGCTATTAGAATGAAGAATTTTAAATCCCTTGACCTTCATCTCTAAACTTGCTTATTTTTAAAGTATTCTTTTTAAATAGAGCTCTGGACACAAAAAAAAAAAAATCTTTCTAAAACTATTTTATATTGGATAACTTTATTTATTATTTATTTATTTGTTTAGGTACTGAGGATTGAAACTAGGGGCGCTTAACCAATGAACCACAGACCCAGACTTTTTTTTTTTTTTTTTTTTGAGACAGGGTCCCGTTAAATTGCTTAGGGCCTTACTCAATAGTTGAGGTTGACTTGGACTTTTCCATCCCCCTGCCTCAGCCTCCTGAGCCGCTGGATTACAGGACGTGCACGACCACGCTCAGCGGGTAATTTTAAATGTTAAAATCTGATTAAAAGTTTACAAAATCCTTTAAACATCTTTATACCAAAGCTGATAAATAATACTTTGTCAAATTTCAATTCAGCTTCATGTTCTCCTAATTTCAAAGTTTGTGTTTACATGAAATTACTTGGGTTAAATTCCTGTTGGATTCATATTGACTGTGTTTCACCTCTTTGAAACAATTTTAGGGCTGAACCTCTACAATTATCACCCTGAGAATATAAACTGATGCACCTTCTAAAACTTGAGATTAACTATTTTGCAAATTCAAAGTCATTAATGTTATTCATTCCCTTGAGAGTAAAATAAGGCACAATAGAGAAATTTTACTTTTCTTATATGCTCCCCTCTCCTACAAGGAAATTTAGTGCCATTAAATTTTGTGTTTCAACCTCGTACAAATGAAAATGTTCTGTCCAATTATATAAATTCAGTGAGTTTTTCAGTATTCAGAAATGTGTGGGTACGGCTATGCTCTTCACCAGCAGTATTTTTCAGGCCACTCTACGCCAATATGTCCAAATTTCAACTTTTAACTTTAGGATTCAAATTCAAATATTGATCTATGAATCCTCTCTTACCAACACTCACAAGGAACATCTAAGAGTCACAGCAGGGCCTTACTCAATAGTTGAGGTTGACTTGGACTTGAGGTTTCACGATACTAGCCCTTAATAGGACACGACTCCGACCAGTGCCCCAAGTACAATGTCCCGCCTCACGCTAGTCAGTAATTAACCGCTCCGTTGAACATTGCTATCTTAGTACCTGGTTGGTGCTTGGGCTTGTCAGTCACTTATAGTGGGTGGGGCCTCAAAAACTCAGATCTAAACCAGACGCCGGGATTTTACGTCATCGCAGATCGACCAAAGCTGGAAAGGGAGGGGGTGGGGTTGTGAGCGTACCTCGGTGGTGGTGGGGGGCTGCCTGCGAAGGTATCATGGCTGCTGCTACGGAGCTTAGTCACCCGAGCAGCAGTGACAGCTGTCTGGAGGGAAGCTGCAGCCCCAATCTTTCCCGCGAGGTGCTCTGCGAAGTCTTTCATTCCCTGCACACACTGGCTGGACAGGTGAGTGGGGGGGACTGTGCATAGGGCCTTTGGCTCCCCGCCACCCCCGCTCCCGCCCTTTATCTCTGCAGTGTGTGGTGGGGGGCGGTGTTCGGGAGGGAGGCATCAGAGGACTGCCTGGGTGTGGGAAGGCTGGGTAGCTGAGGCCGGGAGTGGAATCCAGGCCCGGCCATTCGGATCAGAGTGAAGAGGATGACTGTACTGGGTTTACTTGGGTCAGTACGGATGTCAGACTAGATTACCTTGCAGTAGTCCTCCCGGAGAGTGAGTGGGGCGATCTAGGTGAAAACCTGGCTTGGCGAGAATGTATGAATTTTTTGCGCAAACATTTTCTGAGTGTCTTGGAGGTTCCTGGCGCTCAGGGTCCTTTTACCCAAATTTATTCTTTATAGAAATTGGTCAGTACGATCTGAGATTTTTGGAAAAGGGCCTCCTCCGCCTTTTTAGGATGATTTGTCCTTCTGAGTCACTTGGTGGTTTTTTTTTTTTTTCCTTCTGGCCTTGTGTACATTTATTATTCTGTCAAACTCTGAGGAAAGTAAAAGGAATTAATTAATCTTAAATATTTCTAGTGTAAAGTTGGATGAGTTATCCATGACCGATATCAATTGCTTTAGAACTGTCATTTAACTATTAACTAGTTTGACTGATAAATCGCTTTTGCAGAAATATAATAAAGTTTAAAAACTAGGCTTTTCAGATTCTATTCTATAAATACATTATTTCATTATGATATAGTAAATTAAATTTTAAACGAAAAACAAAGGTTTTTGCCTGCTTTTAAAAATATCTTCCATCTTAAATGGACTAATTTGTTCTAGGCTGTTACTATCGCATGTAGTGGACACAGCAAGCATTTTTGCCAAAGAAAATGGAAATTTCTATGAAAATAAAGCGCTTGCCCGACTTGTGAGAATTAGAATTAATCCTTTAAAAAGTTATTGCAATGTTTTTAAAAACCTTAATATGTTTGTTGTGATTTGCAAACATTAAGTTATTCACTCAGTTTTGTGTAATGAAGCAATTCTTAATAGAATCTCCTAAAAGATAGAACTGTTAAACTTACACACACACCCCTTGATTTTTTTTTTTTTCCCCTAAGAGTTGGGGTCTTTTGATTGATATTAACATTTCAGTCTTAAGACCCAGGACATTTAAGTGATTTAAAAGTTAGAGAACTTTTTGTGGCATGGACATTGGAACTTTAAAACTGATTCATATTCTAATGTCAAGGTGAAAAAAATTTATGCTCACCTATTACTTAACAGAAATTTTTGAAGTTAACATTGAGAAACAAAATGAACATTTCTTTTTAAATATTTTGCATGTTGAATTTTTCAAAATCACTTCAAATGTTTAAATATTTTGGTATCCTAAAGGTACTGATGGAGAAAATAAATTTTACTTATGTCACCTGTCAAAAATTTTTAGAGTAAACATTTGTGAGTTTTCCCTGACACAGTGAAGGGACCTTCTGTACAAGTATGAAAAATAAGATTGTTTCATAAATTAAATGCTAACCATTTGGGTAATACTTTATGTTTTGAATTGTATTGTTTTTAAGAATGAAAGCTAGGTATAAAATTGCCCTTATTCCTCCACCCAGGGAGACAGTATTTCCTTTTGCAGAAAGTTTCAAGGATTTAAAAAGTGTATGTTTGATGTGTCTAAATTCATCCTAAGTATGTTGTATTATTAGCTCTCCTCAGTAGGAAAAATAGTTGAATTTTTAAAAGTATTTTCTACTCCAGATTTAAAATTTAGTAATTTTAACCTTTTTGCTTGTCTCTGGATGGCCCATTTTACCAAGCTAAACATTGTTAGTTTGGATTTTCATGTTAATTTAATAAGATTTCTATTAAAAATGCATATTTAAATAGTCTGTATTAATAGCATACTAACCGATTTTTGAGTGAATCTATATGGCAAAAGTGCATAGAATTCATATTATTAATAAGGAATTTGTTGAAAGAATAATTGGATATATTGGGATTATTTTAAAATTAAGTTGTGAAATTATGTGGTTTTCTTAAAAGACCAAGTATTCTTAATTGCACTTAAGACTTACATAAATTCTGATGAATTGAAATGAGTATATGATCCAAACTTAAAACTTCTTTTCTCTAGAAAATGTGGTGTTTTACTTGGGTTGAGGATTTGTCTGCCTTTTCCTCAAACCATATTTATAAATTTGCCATAATAGACTATAGACCTTTTGGTGGACTGTAAAAGTATGATAATGGATTATTTCCATACATAAACATAATCTGTGTAGGCATGAAAATAATATCTATTAAGATAATGCACTAAACTTAATGTAAAATCTTAATACATCTTTGCCAGTGCAGCTTACATAAAATTTCATATTTCTTTACACCTGTCTCATATGAACTGTAAATGCTTCTAGTCTTGTTCAAAGGGTGGTAAGTTTCTGTCACATGTTTTTCAAAATAGTGCCCATTGGTACTCTGGGATCTCTTTGATTCCATGTACTATGATTCTTTTTGTTGTTGTTATTACAACTTATGTGATCTATACTCAAACTTATGTAACACATTTTTGTTTTGTAGATAAAATGACTAATTTTTAATAAATTATTTCTGAAAAATAATACATAATTAACTTGATTCTACTATAGAGTTTATCTTTATACTATGCTATAAACACATATTCCTAGAAAGTTTATGGGGGATCACTTTTATTCAAATGACTGCAGATGGAGATTCTATAATTTTCACTGATTTTGGTATCAATTTTATATTTATGCTCTTGGTACTTTTTTGGATATGATTTTATTTTTATAGATCATCAGTGAAAAAGAAATTTTCATGTAATGAGACCATGACATCTCACATCTTACTAGAAAATACTATTTAGCAAATAGCATGGGCATTCCATTTACTTTCTGGTAATTTATTTCACTATTATGGATAAGTATTTGGTTTTCAGTTTTAGACTTCCATAGCTAAGTAATAGTTTAATTTTTATTTGAAGTAGACAATTATGTTGCTATTTATCTCTAGTCTTTATGTGAATGAATAATCTTGATTTTTAAATTATTTTAAAAATTGATTAAAGTTGAAAACAGTAAAAATGTGATTCGGAAGATGTCAGAATTATGATGTATATCAGGTATGTATTTGTATACATATTTAACAAAGAGAAATCCACATAGTAGAACTTTTAATAAAATAGTTGTGCTACCTCTGTTTAATGCTCTGAGCTGGAAGTGATACAGTTCTGAATAGGGCAATCCTATTTTGGACCCCATCCAAAGGTTTTCAAATATTGAAGTGTCTAAAGAAGCTTCATCTTTTTTTTTTTAATCTTTCATGGCTGGTTTCACCTCTAAGATGGTCCCATTACACAGACCTAAGGAGAACATTAGAACAAGGTGTCATTTTGTTTGGGTTTTTTTATGAAAGTCTGTACTTTTTTAGCTTTTTAAAATGGTAATTGAGTAGAGCATTTTAATATATCACTAAATACTTGATAACTTTGAAGAAAAGGCATGTGTTACTCCACAAAAATCTTATTTTTGTGACAATCCCAGTTATACAGCTTAATCGTGTAATTTTTGTGATGTTGCTGGTTTGCTCCTTTGAAGCTTAACCTCAAAGATGATGTGGTGAAAATTACAATCGATTGGAACAAGCTCCAGAGCCTCTCAGCATTCCAGCCTGCATTGCTCTTTAATGCACTTGAGCAACACATTTTATATTTACAGGTAAATTTCATGTTTGAAATCTTAACTTGATATTGAAAATAAAAATTAGTTGTGGTTAAATTAACTGGAGTATTTGTCAGTTTTATCTTAATAATATATTAATAATGTTATTAATAAAAGGTTACTTATATCCAGATTGAATCTAAATCTGTTCATTTCAGTAGTGATCAGGACAGTTATGGGCTATGTATGCAATTCTGTTCAATTCTAGACTTGCACTGAAAATTCAATACAGTTCCATCTATGGTGGGTTATAATTAAGCAATAAGACACGGCAGGTGTGTGTCATGCTATGATAATGATTCCATGCCTTGGGTGAGTTTGGAGGCTCATGGAGTGCTTTCAGTGGTTCAAGAAGTGGCATTATCCCAGCATGACACATCCTGGAGTGTCTATTGCAATTAAACAGTTTCAGCATAGTTTTTAAAAGAAAGTAATTTCTGTGACATTAATGTCTCATCTTAGTAAGTAGCCAGTTGCTATTTTATCTTTTCTTTACAGTTTTGAAATAATTCATCCTTGATATTAGAAGTCAATATTGAATTGTTATTTTTAATAGTATTGTTTTATTTTTTAATATTTCAGGTCAATAACTGAACAGTATTATGGCTTTACTGGTTTCTAATTGAACATTTCTATAATTATAATTGTGTAAGTTGCAGTTTACCTCTATCAAAGTATAAAATATGAAGTGTCAAGAAGATGAGTAGAATTGTTTGGATTGGTCACTTTACTATGATTAAGGTGTTAACAAGATTTCAGAAGAGTATTTGGTATAACAAACAATGGAGACAAAATTGTAGGTATGAAAAAAATAATTTGAATATTAGTTAAGTGTTGGTGTGTTTTGACTAATGGAATAGGCATTAATTTTCAGTCCTTCATTCAATGACTGAGAAAATTTAACTCACTGCTACATGTTAAAATTAATAGTTGACCTTGTTTTTTAAGAGCAGAGCAGTGAGCTATAGAACTTAAATAAGGCCTAATTGGGAGAGGTGGGGGTGGAGGTAGATGGGTAATATAATTTACATTTACTGAGCCTTTTTTACTCCTGTAGTATAGTGATAGGCATATATCTGTTTTCAGCTATGGGCCTTGGTAGATTAGCTTTTCAGCCCCCACTCCCATGTTCATATTCTTTTGTAAAATTTAATTTCATGACCAAAGATGATATCTTGCCATGTCAGGAAAAGCCTGAGTGTTCACTCAGCATAACACCTATATATTTCATGTCTATGCTCTCTCATTCACTTTGGCCAACTGCAGTTTCAAGTGGAGAATCTCCAGTGATATGGTGATAATGCAGGGCTTTGCTGAGTGAGAGCACTGGCTCTCGTGTTAAGGAGGAAAAATACTAAGCCTTAGTGTTCTGAGGAGGCATTTGAATGACATGTTAATTAAGTGGCATTGGTGCCAGAGGCTGAAGCCTTTGATTTGGCACAAAATAAAAGATGAGTGACAGAATGATTTCCTCAAAGAAAATTTTAAATTTCCTCAGCTTTTCTTTCTTTTTCATTTTTTTTAAACAAATTTATAGCAAATCGTTAAGTCTCAATAGCAAGAAACTGCAAATACTTGTATGTGGTCAGACCTATATATCCTTATGTACCAACTTTTTATATTTAATAATATTATTTCATTTACTTAGAAGAAATTTATATAAACATGTTAAATGTATAATTAATTTTGGTTAGTTTGAACCCCAGCAGATGGAATTGTGTTCTTCTCAGCCTTTTTTAGCAAAACTTCAGCCTCTCATTAAAGAGGAGAATTCAACTGCTATTGAAGAGATAGGAAAAACAGAAACGGGGAACAAGAATGAACTAAATGCCAAATTTCCCACTGGTGACCTACAAGAGGAAGAAAAGCACAAAGATTGTGATTTAGGAGATATGAAAAAGATACAAATCCATTTTGATCCAGAAGTAGTTCAAATAAAGGCTGGAAAAGCAGAAGTAAGAAGTTTGGGAGTGGGGCAAAAGAAGGGGGCAGTACATTTAAAAGTCTTACTGTTGTTTACATTGTAAAAACATATTTGTTATTTGTAGATTGACAGACGAATATCTGCATTTATTGAAAGAAAACAAGCTGAAATCAATGAAAACAACGTCAGGGAATTTTGCAATGTTATTGATTGTAATCAAGGTAACTACCTAGAAATTAATTTTCATACGATTTTAAGTACAATTTTTACAGTTATTGTAATCTTTGTTTTGTTTTTAAAAAGGAATAATATTAAGAACAATTTATTTTACAGGTTTTTAGTAACAAGGCAGTGGAATTTCCTTCTGTTTAATAATAGTATATTGCAAAATTGGTTTTTTGTTTTGCTTACACAAAAATCAAATAAATGCTAACACAAAAATACTAACGTCCACCACAGGTTTGAAGATAATTTTAAAGTACCTTTAGGAAATGAAGGTGAAGTGTTGGGTGACAAGATTGTCCAGTCTCACTAATGAATTTTAAGCCTGTGAATGTACTTGTAAAATTATGATGTTAATACAGAAAGTGAACTTAGTAAGTTAATAGTATTCCTCAAGAGGGAGCAGTTTTCTCACTACTCCTAAATTGTGTGCAGTGTTTTAAGTCACAATACAACCAATTTGTCATGAAGACCTTGGTGTCTTATGCTTTTTTCCTTTCTCTCTCAGTGCATACATTTGCTGTTTTCCATCAGATTCTTCTTTCCCTCTTCACTTGATGCTATAATACGTTTACAGATCTGCAGGTATGCTGCAGAATACAAAATATTGCATAGCGCTGTCATAGGTCATACTCAGTCATCCTAGTAATAATCAGAAGAAGTATTTCTTAGAAAAATTATGAACAGAACATTCATAATTGGAATGAGCATTTTTCCTATTATCTCTAATATCTCTTGGTTAATTATGAACACAGAATTGTCAGATGAACCTAGAAGTTTTCAATATGATATGAAAACTGATTCTCTTAGTGAAATAATATAGGCTCAGTTTGGGACCTAAATTTAACTTTTCTACTATTAATTTTACATATGTATGTCTAAATTTGTTATAATTTCCTCTTAGCTTTTTAGAACAGGTGCAAGCAACAGTGGCAAAATCTCAGGTACTACATTCTAACTGCAAGCAACCCATGAGAAAGGGTCTGTTGAGGGAGCAAGCACAAGTGTCACTAATGTTATTCCTCTGTTCTCCCTGCTAACTCTATTATTATAAACCACCAGGGGATAGAAATTGACTAGAATTGAAATGCTCAGCAGGATTCCTTGGCCCATTCAATCCCTTGCTGGCTCAAAACAGTGCTAGTAAGAATTGCTGTGGAGAGTGACTAGCACACATATTCACGATCTTCACACCATGCTGAATTTCTCACTGATGGATCAGTTAATCTATATATTTGGAATATAGCTTTGGAATGGATAATAGCATCTTTTTTAACTAAGAGTTAAATCCCATGAAATAGTAGAAAGAGAACTGGGAAGTGGTGGCCCTTTATGCATATTTTAAGGTATCTCAAGAAAAATAAAAGAATATGAATGAGGTAGCACATGCCTATAACCACAGTTACTTCTGAAGCTGAGGCAGGAGGATCACAAGTTCAAGGCCAACCTCTGCAACCTAGAGACACCCTGTCTGAAAATAAAAATAAAATGATCTGGGGATGTTTGTAGCTCAGTGTTGAAGCACCCCTTCCCAAGTACCACCAAAGAGAGGGGGCGGGGAATAACTGTCTAGTCTCTAGATATAAAAAATAAATGGATTTGGAATTTTGTTCACACAGTTTGACTTATCAGAACTACTATAGAAACTTTAACTGAAAAAATACATTTTAATGTGTTAGTGTGTTCCTTTTAATGCCTCTCATTTTGATCTAAATATAAAGAGTGGTTTTTTTAAAAAATGAAATTCCATAATTTCATTGAGGAAAAAAAAGTAATTTTCTTTCAGTATCTCATTTATCGTTGATTTTTTTTTTTTCAAAATAAGGGAATTTTGAAGGAAATTAACTGCCAATACATGCTTTTACTAATGTTATTTTAAGCAATAGTATATATTATTACTATGTAGTATTATAGATTATAATATGCATGTGAGTATATTAATAGTATTATATGTTATGTTAATATCTTTCCAGTTTTCTTACTTTATAACTTATTTGTTCATATCTAACTTAAAAGAAACTGTACTTTTCAGCTTGGAAAAAAAAATGGAATAAATTTTCACTTACCTGAAGTTGCATTTTTTTCTAAGTGGTAGAATGGGAAGAGTAGATGACTTGTGATAGGGGTTTTTAAATGAACATCAAAAATCTAGGTAAAGTGGAAAAGTATATGTTATTTTTGAGATTAAGGACTTTTTTATGTGGAGTTCTGAAATTAAAAGATGTTAAATATATAATCAGCCCTTTTTGTTTGGTATTGAATAATAGCAACAAAAATATGAAAAATATTTTTAACAAAAGATATTTCAATAAAAATGAGTTCTATTTCTCTAATGAAATAGTATTAAAATACAGTATTCTATAATATATAAATTATTTTTTCCAGAGGTCCAAATGGTTTTTAGGGACATTGGTTTACATTAAAAATTGTATTGTTACGTTTCTTAATGGCTTTTTTGTGTATAAATCTGACCATTAGATAAAAATATTAGATGTTATGATTCATTTTAGAGGATGGATTTGGTCTATTCTGTATGTGATGGTAATTTTAGTTATTGTCATTATTTAAAATCATATTCTCTTATTATGAGTAATATGTTAGTATGAATTATTAGGTTTATAAATCGAAACATATTTAACTTTATATTCATCTAAATTCTCCTTAGAAAATAGTTGTGCAAGAACTGATGCCATTTTTACCCCTTATCCTGGATTTAAAAGTCATGTAAAGGGTAAGTAACTATGGCATAATATCTTTGTCACTAACAGAAGCTTATTCTAGCTTATTAACAGAATGGAATAGAAATAAATTTCCCATCTAAGTTTGTTTATTATAAAACAAAACAAAAATATTGCTATTCTTCATTTCTGGGTTTGTAGTTAGGTGAAAAGAATATAATGTTAGCAAATTTCTGTTTCTGTTTTTGAAATGTAAATGGACATAGGCTTTAAAGTTTTTTAACTTCAGTTTCTAGAGTTGTGAATACATATGGACCACAGACTAGACCTGAAGGAATTCAAGGGTCAGGTCATAAATCCAACAGTATGCTCCGAGACTGTGGTAATCAGGCTGTAGAAGAACGACTACAAAATATTGAGGCTCACTTGCGATTGCAGACAGGTAAGCAAAGTGTTAAGTGATGCCCGAAAATGTAGCTTTGCAAGTAGTTAAAGAAATACCAATTCATTTACTCACCAAATTTTCATTGAGCACGCATTATGTGTAAAACATTGTTCTGATTGATACAAAAATGAATAAGGCACTGTTGGGTCAGTATTCTTTATGAATTTACAGTTTTTATCATGTATGCTTTTCTTTCTCTCACACTGCTTGCCATTTTCTAAAATTGAGAAAGGGCTAGTAAGTTAGGAACAGTTTCCAAAATAGATCCTAGTAGCCTCAGTTTATTAAAGTTATAGCTGAAAACTAATGTAGTTTTTTCCTATAACTGGTTTCAGAACTTACCATGTCTACCTCTTATCACCCACTGTGCTAGGTACAAAATGATGACAAATGGGGTTTTAGTCCTCAAGAATCTCTCAGTAAGAATAAGCATATAAATAAATAAATGCCATAGGGAAAGTCAATTAACATTAATTGGACAATACTGCCAGTCACTCTGAAAGTATATCATCCTAGTACTTAATAGTACTCTTTTGAGGGATTGGTACTATTATCATTGGATAGAAAAACTGAAGTTCAGAGAGCTCAGTACCTTGCCTAACATAGTGACAACTGGAAATCAAGCCCAAATCTTAACTGACTGTAAAGCCTGAGTTTCCCTCCCTGTGTAGTCACCATGTCCTGTTGATACTACCTCCTAAATGTCAGTAGGTGAAGCCACCATGATCTCTTCCTTGGACTGACTGAAGGATATTAAGTAGTCTGTTTGCCACTAAACTTCCTCCCTAGGTCAGTCTTTACCCTGTGGCCAAATTGTACTTTTTAAAGCTCAAATCTGATCTTATTTCTACCCAGCTTCCATACATGCATACCAAACTTCTTATTTGTCCATTCATTCAACAAATGGTATTTAGCTCCTGCTATAAGCCAGGTGCTGTTCTAGATTCCAGTAACTACATCTGATCAAAAGTTCTATTTGGGAGAGACAGGAAGTCAACCAAGAGAAGGAAAAGGAGATTGAGACTGGAGGAAGTTGTAATTTTAAATATGATTGTCCATACCTATACTGGCCACATCTCTGGACTTCCCATCTCCCACTCATTTTATTACCCTTAAGCCTTTGAACTTATGCTTTCCTTCCTTATTCCAGACCAGTGTGGATTCCTTTTTTATATAGTCTCATAGCCTCTGGTACTCCCTGCCCTTCTTTCAAGCAGTTATTGCAGCTCTGTTTGCTTAATGTGCATATCCCCTGCTAGATAGTAAGGTCTATGAGAATGGAACTGTGTCTGTCATGTTCATTATACTTTGTGTCTAGCGTAATGTCTGGCATGGAACAGGTGCTCAAATGTTTACTGAAGGAACAGTTGTTCATTTCACCTTTTCAGATATGTGCATGGTAGAGTGGGACACAAAACAGCTTTTGTAAGGGATGTCAAAGGATGGCATCCTTAATGAAGTGACATTTCAGCCCTCAAAGGATTAGTAAGAATTTTCCAGGAACAAAGCATTTCATAAAGAGGAATAGTGTCTGCAAAAAAGGACAGGGACACCATATGGTTCAGGAAATTTCTGAATCCAATTTAGCTGGAGTATTTGCTGGATGGAGAAGGTAGAAGAAGATAAGAGAATGAATAAGTCTTTAAGTGTAACAAGATTAGCATTAAGAATTAATACCAAGCTGGGTGAGGTGGCCCATGCCTGTAATCCCAGTGACTCAAGAGGCTAAAGCAGGAGGGTCACAAGTTCGAGGCCAGCCTCAGCAACTTAGTGAGACCCTCAACAACTTAATGAGATTCTGTCTCAAAGTAAAATATTTTAAAAAAGAACTAGAGATGTAGCTCATTGGTAAAGCACCCTGGGTTCAATCCGCAGTACCAAAAAAAAAAAAAAAAGAAAAGGAAAAATTACCCCTTCCCCCAGAAGAAAATGGGTTTAAAATGCAACTGTATAAAAAGGATTGACTGGTTAAATCTCAAATAGTTAATTCTTTTGAAAAATATCTGTTGAATGCTCTCTGTGTGACAAGCAGTATTTTAGATACAAGGAACACTGATATGATGTGATGATAGGCCCCAGCTTCAAGGACTTTATAATCTAGGTAGCAGAAAGATTAATAACAAAATTGAATTTTAAAGGGCAGTGAAAAAGGGTATTATGGGGGCAAAAGGAACCTCCATGTGAAGCAGTTCAGGGAATGACTTACAACCCAGTGAACTGGCTCTTGAAAGGTACAGGGAACATTCTAGATAAATGGAGCAAGAGCAAAGTCAAAAGAACAAATTATTCATTTCACCTTACTCAAGAGTAAGAACAACCAAGGTCCTAAGATAAAAAACATATTCTCAAAAAAAAAAAAAAAAAAACTAGAGTTTTTGTATTTAACAGGTTGATACTTTTGATATGGTAATTCATCACCATATTCTTTAATTGCATAGTGATTGTCAAATTAAATATTCATTCAGTCAATAAATATTGAGCACTTGCTCCATGCCAAGTATTGTAGTCTATGCATTGATGCTTCTTAGCTTTGTGCAGTGCACAAGCTGCCAGTGAACAGAACAGATAAAACTCTTCTGCCCTCTTGGAACTTATATTAAAATGGGGAGACAAATAACAGAATGTTGTGTGTAAAATTAAAGAAAGGAGGATAGAGAATGCTGGGTAGGGGGAGATAGTAGTATCTATATTTGAGTACCAGAAAAAAGAAATCAGGTGGCTGGAACCCTATGTATATGGGGAGAATGTAGGACCTTGTAGGCCATTGTAGGGCAGGTAAGTATTTGAAGGGTTTGAGCTGAGAAGTTATAGGACTCAGCTTACCTTTTAAAAGGATCACTGGCTGCTGAAAATACAATCTTTGGAAGCAAGGCAAAAATGGAGGCCTGTTTGGAGGTTGTGATAATCCAGGGAGAGATGGTGGTGATCTGGAGATTGGTTACAGTGGAGATGATAAATGGAATGCTTCCAGATACAATCACGAACTTGAAATCAAGTGACCTTAATTTACTACCTCCTCCCCAAAAGTTTATTGTTGAGAATTATGGTAAAATCCCCTTTTAACAGTTTTTTTTTTTTTTTTCCCTAGGCCAAAAAAGATAATATGGCATGTAGGGAGAGATATAAATTGAAGAAAGTAATATGACATTGCAACAACTAAGTTGAACCATCATTGGTCACTAAGTATTTTTCTCCTCTCAAGTAACCATCAAAGCCTGTCAGAAATACAAATTGTTCTACACAGAAATTATTAATATCTTATAAAATGAATGTAACATAAAAGTCCTAGCAATATAGGAAATATATTGCTTATATCTAGCAATATAAGTGGGGTTTGGAAAGAGGAGGTATAGTATAAATTTGTCCCATGGTTTATAATATGAAAATAAAAGCTAAGAATGGATTTCATTCTGTTTTTCTGTTGTTTATTTTTTTAAGTTTAAATATTTCTTATTCCTTTGCATAACTGTCTTTGCATGATGTTAAGAAGGAATTATTCAGTAGTGTTTCAGAATCTCTCTTTTTAAAATATACATAGGTGGTCCAGTGCCAAGAGACATTTATCAGAGAATTAAAAAGCTTGAAGACAAAATCCTTGAACTGGAAGGCATCTCTCCTGAATATTTTCAGTCTGTAGTAAGTATAAGTGTCTTTTAAAAGTAAAGAATTTCTTATCATTTATTAAATTTAAAAAAATTTAAATTTAAAAACCTAATTTATTATAATTAGGGTTTTTCATTGTGTATCAATTCACTAATTGGTCTGTGTATAAAGTACTCTTTTAATAATTAAAAAATAAATGAACACAGCATTGTGTAGGAGGGAGTTAATGGTTCTTTAAAAATTCTGATTCTGAGCCAGGTATTATGTATGGCATACACCTATAATCTCAGGGATTTGGGAGGCTGAGACAGGGGATTGCAAGTTCAAGGCCAGCCTCAGCATCATAGTGAGATCCTAAGCAACTTAGCAAGACTCTGTCTCAAAATAAAAATGTCTGGGGATGTGACTCAGTGGTTAAGTACCCTTGGGTTCAGTCCCCATAAACCCTCTTCCACTCCCCCCAAAAATTCTGATTAGAAATATTGACAATATTTTAGTGTTGTGGTTTTTTTTGTTGTTGTTTGTTTGTTTTGTGTGTGTGTGTGTGCTACAGAGGATCAAATCGGGACATTATGCATGCTTGACAAGTGCTTTGTCACTGAGATGCACTCCCAGCCCCCAGATTTAGAAATTTTAAAAGGAATACCTTTATTATAAATTATCCAAATTCTCTTATGCTCTTTTCATAGCATAATACATCAGCCTGGATAGTAGTCAGTCCTGTGACTCTGACCTTGCTATCTTACTTGTAAAGCAAATGTTTCTGCTAAGGCCTACCTCTGTCAGTTATCTCTTCTGTTTTGTTTAATTCCTCTATGTCTAGATTATTTCACTCAGGGCATAGACAGTTACATTTCTCCATGCTAAACAAGCATACATCTTAAGCTGCCACCTTTTCATTACCTTAACCACTAGACTTTTTGAAAGACCAGATTTCCATTTATCTAATTCCTCAACTCTGGCATCCGTCCATCTGTCCATTCATTTATTTATTCATCCATCCATCCATCCATTCATTCTTTTTTTTCTTTCCAAGGACATTAAAAAATTATGTTGTGCTGACAAGTATTTTCTTTGGCACATCAGCATTTTTCAAGCAATCCTGAGCTCATTATGTTTTCCTGAGTCTTCTGAGGTGATCTTATATATATATATATGTATTTTTCATCATGTATATATTTTCATCATATATACATATATATCATTTTATATATCACACATATATATAAAATACATATCTTTTCTGAGGTTTATTTTTTAAGACATTCCATATTAGAACTAAAGTAATGTAAAAGTGAGATTATACTAAAACTCCTGTTTCTGAAAATTACACAAAATAACTCACATTAGTATGTATCATATCAATCACTGGTGAAATATATTTAACATTCATTTTAGGTATAGCAACATCTTTCATAAGTTACAGATTGTGTATTAGAGTGAGGTACCAAAAAGAAGTATTTCCAGAGAAAGACTGCAGGTCACATAACAAAAAAAGGCTGCAAGACTTAAATGATAAAAATTCAGAGGAAGATATTTATCTCATTTACTGCTCTCAAATGTAAAATGAGGTTCATAAAGTACTAAAGGCTGAAGCAGGAAGATACCAGTCAAACACTTAGTATACTGCCCAGTACATGGTAAAAAGCTCTGTAAATATTAATATTTATTTAATTTCAGAAACAGCTATAAAGTAGTTGTATAAACATGGATAAGGCAGTCAGTTTCTCTGGCCTTCAGATGTCTAATTTTAGAAAATGTGATAATTGTATTACATATTACAAAGTTCTTTCCACTTTTAGAATTATTCTAAGGATGTTTTTCCCTAGAAAACTTTTTTAAAATTTTATGATTCTTTTCCTACACCAATCTACTGTAAGTTTTTCTCAAACTGCTTTTATTAAGTAGTCCCTAAAAGTTTAGTTATTTTTCTAGTTCAGTTTCATACCTTGTTAATATAATTTTTGTTAACAATAGAACTGATCTTACAAGGGAATATGGTAGTATCAGATGACTCCATTGAGGCCTTTCTTCATAATTTATCTCTTCTGATTCTAATTTATAAAAAACTTTATATATAAACTTAGTTAACAAATGAACAAGCCCTCCACATCACAATTTTGTAGTTTTTAAAATTTTTTTAAATTTTTAAAATTTTTTTTATTTTGGATCTGTCGTACATGAGATAGAGTGTTTAATTTAAGAGGTAGAAGTAGTCTTTCCCAGGCAGAGAGTGGGAGTTCTGTTTTAACATTTGAATAAGAAAGGGACCTGTGAAAACAATATTTAGAAAGATTTCTATAACAGTGAGAGGAGACCCTAAAGACGAAGAGACAGCAATGTGTTAGCTAGTGTGTGAAATGAGATCTTAAAATAGAGACTTGAGTGAGAAGATTAAATCAAGTAGGAAAGAAAAGTTGACAAATACTGATGATTGGATGTGGAAAGAAATAACAAGGATATATCTAGTTTCTGGTTGGAAAAATGATACCATAACTGATAGAAATAAGCAGATCTATAGGGGAGTTGTGTTTTGTTTGTTTTGGTGAATTATGAATTTGAAGTCATAGGAGGATATGATAGAAATGTCAGGCAAGTTTTTGAGACTCACGGCTTTACTTGAGACAATTGAGAGAATCTGTTTAGAGGTACTAATTAAAACACTGATGGGTAAAAACACTGCAGCTGTCAAAAGGCTTGAAGTTTGGTGACTACCTCTCTTCAGGGGCAGGAAGCATTAGATATGTAGACAAAAGATTGGCCTGAATGAATTAGCAATTCAAAAAGAGTAGATGATGGCAACCTGTGATAAAAGTAGTGCTTTTCTAAAGTATTTCCAAACATGTTAAAAATAATAGTTAGGCAGGAGGAAGCTGAGGCAGGAGGATCATGAGTTTCAAAGCCAGCCTCAGCAACAGCAAGGCCCTAAGCAACTCAGCGAGACCTTGTCTCTAAATAAAATATAAAAAAAAGGCCTGGGGGGGTGGGGATGTGGCTCAAGTGGTAGCGCGCTCGCCTGGCATGTGCACGGCCCAGGTTCGATCCTCAGCACCACATACAAACAAAGATGTTGTGTCCACTGAAAACTAAAAAAAAAAAAAAAAGGCCTGGGATGTGGCTCAGTTGTTAAGCACCTCTGGGTTCAATCCTTGGTACAAAAATAATAATAACCTATCTTTGATTAGGACATTTCTCAATGTTGGAAGTGACATATCCATATTAATACTGAGCCACAAGCAGACAAAGAGGTGGAAAGAGTTAAACATTCAGACTGATTCTGTTCTCCAGGCACAGGGGGAAAATGATTTCATGCTCACCCTTATATAATATAATGAGTGAGTCCTTGCAGGGAATCACACTCCTTGCTTGAATAGAACCAACTCAAGGACTGTCCTTGTGCGTGAGAGGAGTTGAGCATGCTGTGTGCCCTATAGAGGATGGAGCACATGACTCATCACCCTCACCATCCTCATGCTAAGACTACATGTTGGTAAAAGCACAATTTTACATATTTATTTCTAATAAGTGTACTGAAGAAACTATACACGGAGCCCAGTACTCTAGCTTCTAAATTTGAAAATCATGGGAGACATGGGAGCCCATTAAATTTGGTAAAGATTGAATTTTTGTTGGAAATTGAATTTTTGAACTCTGAAGATTTTATTTGAAATATGTTTATCTTAAATTCACAGGTAGATAAATCCTAAACATAGGAATGCTTCTCAAAATGAGATTGAGATTATCAAGGTAGCACTGGAGCATACCATATAAAAAGGTGAACATTTGCAGAAAAAGAGATGCAAATTGTATTCAACTCATAAAACAGGTTTTATATATATAATTTTTTCATTTAATGAAACACATAAAACTCCAATATAAGTTATAATGCACATAAAATGTGAACTATGATCCCAAAGATCTTTATCCTTCACATTATGTGGAAAGGGTTTAATGTGGTAATATTTTTAAGAGTATGGCTTAATAGACTGTTTAGGAGATGTGATCTTTATCAGTATTTCCAAAGAATTCCTTACTGATTTTAAATTGTGACACTTGAAAACAATAACTGCTTTATGTTTCCACAAACCTCTGTTTACTTTATAGAGCCATATAACTTATATGCTTATGCATCTGTTTTTCACACTATATTGAACCTCTCAAGGGCAGGAACTATGTCATGTTTATCTCTGACTATACAGAACATAGTAGATACTGAGTAAATATGCAAATGAATGGATAGGATGTAGCTGCTAGTTAATTATTTGACTTTCAAAGGTGTGTTAATTTGCTCCAAAGCACTAACTAGGCATAGTTTTTAGTCAGTAATGGTAACTTCTGGTTCTCAAGGAGAATATGGGGAAGGGGATTGCTAAAGGACAAGTCAATATATACAGACCATGTGTGTGTTTTAAGTGTGGGGGTATGTAAAGTATAAGTGAACAATTACCTAGCTGGAAAATTAGATTGTAAGCATATTTTGGAGGGGCTTGAAGGTCACACTAGAGTTTGCACTTCCCATGTTATCCGAGTAAAACTAAGGGTTTTTTTTTTGTTTGTTTGTTTTTTGTTGTTGTTGTTGTGTTTTGGTTTTTTTCCCCCCTCCTAAGGAGGTACTGGGTATTGAACCCAGGGCACTCTGTTACTGAGTCATATCCTCAACCTTTTTTATTTTTGAGTTCTTAAATTTTGAGACAAGTTATCAGGCTGGCCTTGAATTTGGAATCCTCCTGCCTCAGCCTCCTGAATAGCTGGGATTACAGGCTTGTACTACCTTGCTCTGCTAATTTAATTTTTGAGAAAGGAGAAATGTAATTTAGGTGCTGTCTGATGGCATTTTGAAGTCTATGAGTTGGACAGAAATTGGAGTCAAGGAAACTAATTTAGAAAGCCTGTCTTTGTCCAAGCTGGAGAGAAATGAAAGTTTGAATCAGGGAAATGGAAGTAAAAGGAAAGAAACTTTTAAGACAATGCACATGTAGAATCAGTTGCCCTTTACATATGATTCAAAGGAAAAAACTGGATGTAGTGGTGCATGCCTATTATCCCAGCTACTTGCAAAGCTGAGGCAGGAGGATCACAAGTTTAAGGCCAGTCTCAGCAATTTAGAGATACCCTGTCTAAAAAAAAATTAAAAAAAGGAAGGGCTGGGGATGCAGCTCAGTGATATAGCATCCTTAGTTTCAATCTCCAATACTGGAAAAAAATGAATAAAAATAAAAGGAAAGAATATGGTTGGTTATAGAAGAGCTCCTTACCCTTGACTTTCCTATGCATGAGTTCCCTGGATGTGTGTATATAATATCATCTTTTCATTAGGACTCCGGTATTACAAATGTAGCGATCAATTATCTCCTATAGTAAAACAGTGGGAGAAAAGAGACAGTTTTGCATTCACTCTATACAGTTGTTTCTTTAGTGTGCCGTTTTCCCAAATATTTCTTCTCATGTATCAAAACTTATTAATATTTTCACCTTTTATAGAGATATCTTTATATCTAAGCTGGTCTATAGTACTCACAGTAGATATGGTGTTTCTAAGTGTTATACTTATGAACATATTCTGCTCAGACCTAAAATAAGCCCCAAAGACTCATTTTATTTTGTTTACAAGTCATTGATCCACTGATATCCTTATTCTGACTCTGATATTTTTAACTTTGGTTTCAGGATACAATAAAAATCTGATTCCTTCATGACATAGAAAATAACAATATTCTACAAGTTAAACTGTTAAGATTTAAATATATTTAAGGGGAAGTATATTTAAGGATATTAAGGGGAAGGATATTAAGGGGAAGTATATTTTCATTAAGTACCAAAAAAACCACCCTTTGGGAAGGTAGGAAACTGAGCAAAGAACAAATGAAATGTTAAGTCCCTCCTTGCTCATAGAATCCACCACAAGTATCTAGTTCAGTTTGGTAAAAGAAGGAGCATGTTTTTCTGAGCTCTATTTTTCTATATTTAATAATTCCAGCACTTAATGATTTCTTGTTTTTATAGCAACTAATAAAATGCATACCTAGATGGTCTTAAGAGTCTGCATTTTTATTTTATTTTTACTCATTTATTTTTTGTGGTACTAGAGGTTGAACCTAAGGGTGCTCTGTCACTGAGCTATATCCCCAGCTTTTTTTATTTTGAGACAGGATTTCACTAAGTTGCCCAGGCTGGCCTTGAATTTGCAATCCTCCTGCCTCAGTTTCCTGTAGTAGCTGGAATTACAGGTGTGTGCTACCATCCCAGTTTATGTCAGCCTTTGATACAAGAGAAAATGTGACTTTTAACCTCTTATAAATCTCAATGGTCAGAATGCTCATGAGAAAATTCTGCCACTTACAGTCAGAATTTCTTTGTAAGATACACTAATTTACTAATGTGCCATTGAAAAGCTTGTGGTGTTGTAAAACTAAGAACATAGATTAAGGTTTAAAAGGTTCAGTACTGTGTCAATGTAAAGATTGTTAGCTTCAAATACAAGAAATTTGAACTCAGACTAGCTTCAGCAGTGTGGAAATTATCTTATAATAAAACAGGAAGTACAATGATAACAATCTTCAGGGTTAATGGATTCAGTGACTAAAGCATAATTGTTGGAGAATGAGTTCTTTCTCCTCTCAGCTCTGCTTGGTGTTGGCTTCTTCCCCAGGCAGATGACAATACAGCTACAGCACATTCAGGTGTCTTATCCATATGAATATACACAGGAACAGGCTCTTTTGAGTACTTTCTCTCAAAAATGGGGAAGTTTTTTCCAGAAGGTCTCTTAATCCTCTGTGGACCTCTTATTGGCCAGAACTGGGTCCATGCCCACTTCAGTCACTGGCAAGACCAGTGGGGCATGGTTAGCATTCCCTTCAATCACACAGATAAACAGTGGATAAAGAATTGTTTGCATGGACAACCACAATGCCATTTATAGCCAAGGGGTGTGTGTGTGTGTGTGTGTGTGTGTGTGTGTGTGTGTGTGTGTTTTCTCACCCCTTGGCCTACTATACCAAATTCAATTTTCCTTGTCTATTACTGCTTCATCTGTTCAATATCCCGGGATGGAAAGATTAAAAAATGGAAATTTAATAGAAAATCCCAACAGTACCTCTTTCCAAAGTCATTCAGGCTCATTAGAAGCTGGTAATAATGGGAAAGTATGTATTGCCAGGGACAATCTTGTTTCTGCAGTATAGCTGTGTACCTTAAATATCATCACTTTCAGAGGGTAACTTCAGAATATAGGGATGTGGATGCCAGCAGATAATGCTTGGTAGGTTTGTGGGCTTTTTTCTTGTTGGAATTTTCAGAGCCTGTCCATGTTTTAAAAAAAATACAGAGCCATTGTTAGGAATATCCATCTATGAAACATGCCGTGTGCTCAGGAGGCCCATGGCTAGCACGGCATGTTGACCTGTGCCTGGCCACCCAAGCGTTTCTTGTTCTGGGTTCTTGTTTTAAGAATTGCTTGTCCTCTCCTAGGCTCTGTTTATTCTTCTTGAACCCAGGGCCTTGTGCATTCGAGGCAAGCACTCTTCCAACTGAGCTATATCCCCAGCGCCTGTCCATATTTTATATAGTATTCTCTAAAGGAAATGATACTTTCATTTTCTAAACATTGATTATTTACCTTTTATTTTATTTTCTTTTTTTACTTTTAAACTAGAACCTTTCGGGAAAAAGAAGAAAAGTTCAACCACCTCAAGTAAGTTATTTGCATCTTCATTTTGGCTTCTGCAATAGATTGATTCATTTCATATCTTATTAATAAGAATTTCTACTGTGATTGACTTTAGGTTATACCCTGGTAAGATTTAAAACTGAAGAAAGGGCAATATAAAATAATATATGTGAATTAAAGAAATATATGTATTTCAAGGGTATAGAATGACTCAGATGGGTTAAATAAATATAAAAATGTTTATCCTATTTTTAATAGTAGAAGAATGTATCAGTTCCAAAATGCCTAAAAATAATAAGTGTTCAAGTATCTTAATTCTCTTCCCACCTCACCTTTTATGGACACTACTTAACTAGAAGGATCTAAATCAAAAAGGGGATGTTTGTCAGAGGATGATTTCAGCCCACCTCTGCCCATAGTAATACTTATTAATTTGTTGAATCTTAAGTAATAAGATTTTGCTAGTCTAAATGATGCTAATGTAAATTTAAAGTAGGGAAAATCTTTAAAAAATTTTATTTTGGCTTCCCTGACCTTTATGATGCAAGGGATCAAACCTAGGGCTTTGCATATGCTTGGCTTTTTTTCGGGGGGGGGGGGGGGGGGGGGGGGGGGGCAGGGTACTGAGGACTGAATTCAGGGACATTAAACCATTGAGCCACATCCCCAGCCCTATTTTTTGCATTTTATTTAGAGATAAGGTCTCGCTGAGTTGCTTAGCTCCTCGCTCTTGAGGCTGGCTTTGAACCCGCGCTTCTCCTGCCTCAGTTTCTTAAGCTGCTAGGATTACTGGCATGTGCCACTGTGCCCGGTGGCTTATTTTTTAATATTACTTATTTATTGTAAAACTTTGAGTAAAATTTTAGATACCAGCTATTTTTTTTTCCAGGAGAAATACTGGATTACAGTTGACTCCTCAAACTGAATTTGTAGGTATTTTAAGTTTAAAGTTAAACTGATCCTAAATTTTACTGTTGATTATGAGAATATTCAGTTTTGTTGTGTTTGTTGTTGTTGTTTTGTTTTGTTTTAAGTTTTTTTCTGTCCTTCCAAGTACAAAAATAAGTCAGGAGAACTTTATCATTGGGAAAGAAAAAGTAAAGAAATATTCAAGTCTTGTTATTTTATGCCTTTATACTTATGATATAGTCATTAGGTATAGTTGTTAAGCTTCAAAATTATTCTCATGAGGAAACTGATAACATTTTATCATGCTATTGAATATTTTAAATATTTATAGTTCATTTAGTACTTTATCTGCATTAAGATACTTCAGAGTCTTATTCAGCAATTTGTGTTCTTATTGTTTATAGCAGAACTATTCACTGGCTGAACTTGATGAGAAAATTAGTGCCCTCAAACAAGCTCTACTCAGAAAATCAAGAGAAGCAGAATCCATGGCAACTCACCACCTTCCATGAAAAATTCCTCTCATCTTTGTCAATTTACTTTTTTTATATACGTGTGTACCTTACACTTGAATTAATTAATGGATATGTATTTATCAATGTAAATTTTTCTGTGAAGTCAAGGTGTATTTTTACATGAGTCTATCTTGCAACAGGTAATCTTCATCTATTCCAATGAAGTTTGAAATAATCAGTGTGCTAAAAATATCATTGTTGGAATTTATTCCCTTCTGTTTTAAAGGAGGTATTTTGGAAGTTGAAAAACTTAATTTGGAAGTACCTTGAGGTATTGTTTTGTTTTGTTCTGTTTTTTGGTGAACTACAGGAAGATTATTTTGATAGTGAGATTTAAAAGGAACTTTATATTTGTAACATTGGTTAACCAGTTTACTAGTTTAAATTAGTACTTGTGCACATATGGGCATTCAACAAAAAAAAAATCCAGTCTGAAATGAATTTTAAATCCATGTATAGACTTATATTTTTATTTCTTAAATGTCAGTTAATGTAAATAAACAGTTGATCCAAATTTATCCTTTTATTGACTGTGTGAGCTTGAGCAAGATATTCTCACTTTGTACCCTAATTTCCTAATTTATAAACGGGTAATAATGGAACCTTATTTCATTGATTATTAAGAATAGGTGAGATAATGCATTACAGATTTTGAAACTGTCAGTTCCAAAGGAATTATTAACTGTTGTCATTGAATGAAACCTCGTCTATTTGTGGAGAGTAGTAATGATGTTACAAAGAAGTTATATTGCTATAGTTGGAAATTAAACATTTAAAAGATGCAGTTAATTATAATATCCAAAGTCTTTCAAGGAGTAGCTGTTTAGGACACAAGAATTATCTGATTGCAAGAATCAGAATTTTGCCTAACATTGCTTGTAAAATGGGAATTGTTTAAAAAAAAAATCGGAAATCTGAAACTTAATTGCAACAAGTATAGCTAAGCATCTTAGGGTCTAGAAAGTCAGCAGCAATGAATCTCTTTTTGTGTCTGACTGCCCCTGGCTGTTTGTCTCTTTCTGGTTCCGTGTTTGTCTCCTATTCTTGTTATCTGTTGTCCTCTCTCTGTGTCTCTTGTCTCCCTTTCCTTGTTCTTTTTTCCTTATCATGTCATGATCTCTGCCTATACAGTTCTCTCTCTCTTTCTGGACTGATTTCTCTGAAGGTGTGTACAGAGAGGCCATTTTTGCTTCCCTACATGAGATGCTATGTTAGTCCTGTCTCATAGCCTCAGCTTGTTCTTTGGTGCAGACTCTGAACCCAGTTCTGTAGAATTTCACAACTCCAATGACCACTGCTTACCTCAGTCTTTGTGTCTCATATCTCTTAGATTACATCAACCAGTAATGGCCAAGATGATGGGTCAGGACCTCTTCATAGCAATATGCACTGTACATATAACCTTTCCAAGTGTGGCAGCCTTGAAAATACGGTCACCTGGTTAAAAAATAATAAGAGTTTTGAAGTCATTCCCAAGAAATAGGTGTAGGCTAGATCAGATGTACAAATGTCTTACCACTATATTTCATCTCTGCAGAGAAAATGCATCCTTCAAAATATTTTTGCCTAACATGATCTGGTATTACATGTGCAGCTACAAATCCCCACTTTCCATCTGGTCCATGTGATTGCTGTCCTCCAAGTTTAGTAATACATTTTACTACTAGCATATCAGCCATACAATAGGGGAAAATAGCATTAAAATTTATCTTGGAAGTAGGGAAGAAACCTAGAAAACAGGAACTGATACCGATCAATGATCCAAACCACTAAATGCCAAGAGTCAGTTTCTTGCCTTCCTTCACAATAGAATAAATTCCTAAGTCATGTCTGAAACTCCTAGGACCTGCTCATTAAAAGGATTTCTTTTTTCCATTGTCCTTCAGGCCTGCTCTTCTAAGGGACAGTAGAGAAGAGTCTGGTGCCAGAATTCTTTTCTACTTGAGTCTGGGGCCTTCAGAAGAGACCAGGACTCAATAACACATTAGTATGCGTTGTTATAGGAAATTTGATCAAGAATAGTGTTCTTCTGGTGATAACTATCCCAGAACTTAATGGCCTTTCAATCATTGTCTTTTTGAAAGAATCTTTGATCAAAAGATAATGCCAGGAATTTCTATGGGGTAAATTTGCTCCCTTAATCACCAGGCTACCTAATGGTTATTACTCTAGGATTTTTGTCATTCAGCTTTTCTTATTCCCATTGTTTCTTCTTAATGGCATTGTCCTCAAGAGAAAAAAAAAAAAGGAAAATGAATGAAAAGAGGTTCACTTGCAGGGGCAGGAAAATGCCTTTTCCCTAGTCTGTCCCTATGAAACCACTCCCCTCCACAGGTTACATTCCAATCTGAAAGCTGACTGAGTTTCTGAGGCAAGTAGGGTTGGGAGTCAAAAGTTTTTATTCTGGGGAAAAGGGTTAAGCTTCCTTAGCTATTCTGGCTACTGCTAGATACTCTTCCCTTCAATTATTTAGGATCCTAAGCTTTCCAAACTCATGAATAATATTTAGGCCCAGCCTTCAGCAATCTCAGCAGATGTCCCTTTATGAAACTTGCCTTTCCTGCTTCCTTGTAGTTTATGCTCATTTGAGGTTTTGGGCTCTGTGGTGCTACTTGTCCCAAACCAGTGTGCCTTGCTCTTCTTATGACTTAAAATCTGGGGAAAAAGGAATTCATAATCTCAGAATGTGTCAACTATCCACCCCATAACAAATTACCTCTGGCTTGGGTAGTATTTTCAAGAATAAAAATGCCACATATACCCAACCCTTTAAGGAATGAAGGTCATGTCCAACACAAACATGGTCTGGGAACCCTGACCCTGTGATCTAAACTAATGAACACTGATAACCTTTTCATAAAGAATTTTCACTTTGTCTTTTTTTTTTTTTTTTTTTTTTTTTTTAATTCAGTACCATTAACAGAAAATGTTTTATGATCCTAGAGACAGCACTTAGGTCCACCGGACAAAATTTTGGCTTTGGGTTGCTTTTTTGAGCAGTTCTAACTCTTTAACAAATGATATTTCATAACTTTTAAATCTTCCTTAGATATCCTCCAAAGAACAAAGAGAAAATTTGCTTTTTAAAATTAGAACAAAACTCATTGTGTCCTTTTCATGTGTTATTTGAACTCTTATTAATCTAAAATACATCATGATATCTTAGTAATTTTGCTTTTCCTGTATCTTGAAACATTTTAATATCTCATTCCCAGAAATTATTTAATTATTGCTAATCAGTTACTCCCAACTATACTAAAAAAGACTAAATAAGGAAATGGAACAACAACAGAATCACTTAAAAGGACAATGTAATAACAGAATAAGTGAACACTATTACATTATCTTCAGTTTTCATACAGCCCAAGTATTACATCATCTTTCAAGAAGGTATGAAAAGTCTGGAGAAGCATCATCTTTAGAGTCCTTTTGTTCCCTCTTAAGGAATATAGCTGAGAATTAAGAATTTTTCATTTCTTGCCTATAATGGCAAATACTAGAAGAAAACAGGAATTTCCATAATTTATAAAGGAATCAGAAGGTGAATGCAAAAAGAGAGCAGTGCTCTAGCCTCTAATGATGAAACTTGGAAATTGATTATATAAGCAAAATCTCAGACCATGAGTCTTCAGATGCGTATTCTAGATGAATTTTCTTATTCAAAAATGGATGAGCCATTATATTTCCAAGGACAACAAGAAAATATGACATTATCATCCAGGTAATCAACAGGAAGGGCTTAATCATGCAATATTAATACTATAACAAGGACCTGTACCAGGTTATTTTGCTAGATGGGATGGTGTAAGTTTTTTTCACCTTTTATGGTATATCCCCCAATGATATAGTTCTAAGCTAAAAAAGGCTAAAAGCAGCTATGTACACAAAGGTGACTAAAAGGAAATAAATTACATAGAAATGAAAACAGTGAACCAACCTTTTTAATTGGTGCTTATATATCTAAAAGTGAAAATATGTATTGTAACTTTCACCAACCTTCAACCAAACCATTACATCAAAAAAAATTTTTAAGTATTTATAGTGTTTTTGTTTTTGCAATGCAAATACAAGAAGAACTGGAACCAATGATTAACTAGCCCCTAGTAGAAATAAATTGAGATATGGAATCACTTTTTACAAAATGGATAGGTTCCAGGTTTTTCTTAGTGGGTGGTTAGAAAGATGTTCAACCAACATTGAGCATTTCAAGTATATATACCTTGAAAACCAAAAAAAATATGAAATAAAAAATTGTTTATACTGTTTAAATTCTTACTAAAATTTCTAAACTTTAAGAACTATCTCTAAACATCTATGAATTACTAAAAATGGCTTAAAATTAATAAATTTTAAGATTTATTGATGGTAAAGAGTGATAATAATTTTTCCTAATATATTTATAGTTAAAATATATACATGTAGAGTTGGGGTTGTAGTTCAGTGGTAGAGCACTTGCCTAGCATGTATGAGGTCCTGGGTTCAATTCTCAGCACCGCATATGAATAAATAAAATAAATATCCATTAAATATATACATATACATTTTATATTGTCATAGAATATAAAGATCATATGTTCTCTTTATTATATAATGAAGATCTTTGTAAAATTCAAATGTCTAAACTTAAAATTTTAAATAGTATCAGGATTAAAAAATCCATTATTTAAAGCAGATAAATCATTTTTAAATATTTATTTTCTTAAATATGGTTCCAAGAAATTTAAACACATATGAGATTGCTTCCTCACACAGACTAATCTTAATTGAGAGGAATGAATAAAAGTGTGATAAAATTCTCAGATTGCAAAATGTTTACATTCTTCTACTTAAAAAAAAAAAAAAGGAAACACTTAAAAAGCTAGCAAACTGCTTTCCCAGTATGGAAAAAAAAAAAAAAAAAGAACTATTAAGCCAAGAAGAAACATGGAGGAAACTTAAGTGCATATTACTAAGTGAAAGAAGCCAATCGGGAACCATACAATTCCAACATTGTGACATTCTGGAAAAGACAAAATTGTGGAGACAGTAAAAAGATCAGTGGTTGCCAGGTTGGGTGGTGAGTGGAAAAAGCTGTGGTGAATAGGAAGAATAGAGAAGTTTTAGAGCAATGAAAATACTCTCTATGATACTACAGATATGATAGAGATATACTCGTTAGTACACATTTGTCCAAACCCAGAGAATGTACATCAAGAGTAAACTCTTAATATAAACTATGCCTCCTGGGTGATAATGACATATCCACAAATTCATCAACTAAGTACCAACTACCAAGTAGAGGGTGTTGGTAGTAGAGGAGGCAACTCATTTATAGGATGAGGGGGATGTTTCAGAAAAATCTCTACCTTCTAAATTTTCCTATGAATCTAAAACTGCCTTTAAAAAAAAAAGTGTTTTTTGTTGTTGTTTGTTTTAGAAAGGGACACTTTCTAAAACAACCCATCCCTGTAGGATAAAGGTGCTTCAAAATGTTCTTGCTAATTCTTAAAACTTGTAACTTTTAATAAGCACAGCACTGTCTGAG